ATATACAAATTCACAAATTTGTAGTAAAATATGAACAGTAACACATGTACACTGTAGGCAATTTTTAAAATTTAGTCAGTTTCACTGGTAAAAAGCTAACCACTAAAGTGAATTGCAATTAAAACAACCTCCATGTAAAACACTGATTGGAGTGTTTAAAGCAACCATAGTTTTTCTAGGTCCTTGCTACTTGAGGGTTGGAATGGGGAGTAAAGAAGGAGAAATGATTAGATAGATATATTGCCTTCCACTTGTTATTACAAACTTTCCACAGGAACTAGAGCAAAGCTAACAGGCATGTAAGTCTCCACAACACTAAATCCACTTCATCAAAACTCATCTAAGGACCCATTGAATCCAAACATCTCCCTGCCTTCCCCTTGTCAGTGGATTCCACACCATTGTGTCACCACATTCCACATCCTCATCTGTTGCTAGGTACCCTGAACACCCCTGTTCACACAAGCTCCAAGTGCTGTGCTTTCTTCAGACTTAATACAGACTTGGTTCAGATGCTATGTTACCTAGGTATAATCCTTGAGAAAAGACCCATCAGCCTTGATTTGAGAACCTAGAGCCCCTCCCCTCAACACACTCACACTAAAAATCAAAACACTCTTCTCTCAGTGTAGCAGCCAGTTATTCATATCAGCAGCCAAGGTGGATGGAGCCAACTGCATTGGGTAAGAAAGCAGACGACTCCTTGAAAGGAATAAATTGTGAGTTGGTGAAGATAATCCGAAGAATTTAAGATTTGCTAATGTGGTTGGGTGAGGACAGACAATAAAAATTTTTAATTTATCCTCTATTTAATGTTTATTCAGTGCTCTAGATTGATTTATCTAAATGAAAACCTCTAAAATTTGTTTCAAATGTGATTTTTAAGAACTTTATCATGAAATGTTACCTTTAACCATTTAAATTATGAGATATGTAATTATATCTTATAGAAATAAACAGTTTACTGATTTCTTCTGTAAAACACATTTATTTCCTTAGGAATCAAATATGTAAAGCTATTGAGTTTTGTTACCTTGGTAACATCTGGAATGAACTATTCCATTTAAAAATATTTCTCACATTGCTTATATTTCATATGGGAATTATAATTAAATATATTTACTTGTAAAATATTCTCCCAAATGGTAATTCTCATCCAACCTAATATATAAATAAATTTATCTATGTACTACCTGTATGTCTTGATAGTGGGCTAATTTTTAGCAATAATAGAAATTTGATTTGCTTTATTCTAGCATGGATTTGGCTTAAAACATAAAATGTATTTGGGTTATTCTATATTGGGAAAGCTTTCTTACAGGGGATGTTTGATAGAATTTTAGAGGAGTCTAGTGAACAAAAGTTAGTGCATGTGTTTATAAGTGAAAACAATTATATTTCAATACCATCGTGCTTTAGACTTTCTTTGCATGAAGAAACAACAAAAATAACATATTGTGTATTAGCATAAATGCTTCCATTAGAATAAAATACCACACATTTTCCAAATTACTTTTATAGTTCATTCCCTTTAATTCTGTATTTTAAAATAGGGCACATTTCATTATTAAAATGTTGGTTTTGTTTTCTCAAATAAATAGATATGGAAACTACCATTATATTGTTTGAGGCAATCTCTTGAATATTCCTGCCTAAATGTCCTTTGTTCATATAATTGTCTTTATTAGAAATATAGTATAATGTAGTATAATTTTTCCAGTTAAGTAAGTTTTAACTTTTTCACAAAACTGCTTTAAATTATTGTTTAAGTCAGTTTATTTAAATTAATGAAGTGCCTTTTATTTGCCTTCCATGCTGGGACCCTTGTGGTCATCCTGGCTGTTCCATTACTCTCCCTGCCCACCCCTGCTTTCAAACATGCAAACTTTGATGGTTTCTGATTCTTGTAACTGATCCCCTCTCAACTTTCCTCCTACTGTCCTCATACCACTGACCTCATAGAAGTCTGAGTAATGCCTTAAAAATAGAATTTTAAAGTCAGGTGTGTAATATGTAGAGAGATATCATCTCATAAAACAAAACCACAACATCAGAATTTTTTCTGTTGCCCTGTCACCTCCTTGTCAATTTCATGTTGTCTCCCCACACATATCTACACAGAGAGTGAGGTCTAAAAGACATGCCACTTTCCATCACTCGACTTTTTTCATTCTGTACTTAGTGCTCCCCGAGATCTCTTACATCTGCTTTACCCTAAATGACCTTCTGTCCATGGCTTTGCTCATGCTGACCCCCTTGCAAGGAGGATTCCCAACATGTTCACCTGACAGATGTTCTTTCTCTGTAGGAGTACTATTCATATTCCCATAATCTCAGAAGTCTTTGTTTCTTGCCCTGCATGGTGACTATAGTTGTCTGTATTACATTTGCTTTTGTATTACAATTTCTGTATTACAATTGCTTTTTTGAGTAATTACATTTAATTACTCGTGAGCACACCGGAAGCAGAACCCTCACAGGCTCTGAGGGTTTATTTATATACATATTGGTATAGAGGGTATATTTATATACATATTGGGTATAGAGTAGGCCTAAAAGAGATGTGTTAGATAAATAAATAGACCTGCTTTAGAGTTTCAGTTTGTATTTCTATGACTGGAATTGATCCATTGCAACCTACAAAACAATGCATATTTCAAAACATCTAAAAGTGTGCAAAAATCAAAGTTCATTTTATTCCTCTTATTCATTTGTATTATTATAGTTAAGATCCACTAACACCCTTTTAAAGAAGCAGCTTCTCATTTGTGTTCACTTTTATCTTTCATAGGATAAACAGGAATTTAAAGCATGGTAAATCTGACATAAAAATACAATGTAATTGTTTTATATAAATTTTATCTATGTATTTTCTTTTTATATATTGAAATAAAATTAACCACACTAGCTAGCTTTTCTTATCAATAATTCATGAACCACATTTCCCTATATATTAAAATGAAATATGAGTAAGTATATCATATTCTATTTCTCTTATTAACCTGCTTTTATATTTTAGTAAATGTTTGCCTTTTTGAATAATTTTGCTATTCAAGTCAACACTGGTACACATGTATTTTTAACTTCACAGAACTACACACAAAGATTAACTACACTTAAAAGTCCCTAAACTACACTTTTTGGGACAAAGATTCTGAGTGGTTTTCATATGTTTTTACTCAACACTTGGGAAGCATGTATCAGTGTATCCGCCTGGATAGGAGCTGCCATGCATTAGGGAATTGCCCTCAAGTCTGGATATCCTTAATGGAGGAGTCAAATCAGTTTACAAAAACAGTTGGTAACTATCTCATTCTTTTTGTTAAATTGATTTTTCTTTCACATTGCTTTAGATGCTGAACTATTTTCTTTATTTGATATCATGTTTGTGTTTAAGTGTGTTTACTAGATTAAAAATAATTGCTGCCTCAAGATAAGGTTACCAAGTAGTTAAATTACATTTATGAATAAAATCAGAGGCATATTGCTGCACATCTATGAGAACTTGGTTGACACTAGTTGGAGATGATCTAGCATATTACTTAACCTTCACATCTTTCTTCCCGACAGATGACTCTGCTGCAGAGAGCTTTAATGGCAATGAGACTCTGGGGCACAGCTCAGTTGCTTCAGGAGGAGCTCATGGCAGGGAGACAGGGGCCTCCAGCAGTGATGGCAAAACTGGGCTGGAGCAAGAACAGCCACTGAACCTGAGCGACAGCCCCCTCTCTGGGCAGCTGGCTTCAGAATACAGGATAGATGACCAAGGCAGTAATGGGAAAAGCAAGTATAAGAACCTTCTAATCTCTGACCTCAAGATGGAAAGAGAAGCAAGAGAAAATGGAAGCAAGGTAAGATTATATTACAATAAATTGATGGTTTTTACGCTGGTCATTAATATCAAGACAAAGCACACATGCACCTTACTAATAAACTCATAACCATGCATCATGTGTGTTCACAAAACATTATGTCAGGAGCAACACAGCCAAGTGAAACGTGTCTCAGTGATGTGGGTATTATTTGAAACAGGAATTGTTTGATTTAATGCATTTCATTTCTGTAATCTACTTACAGATCAGTCAGTCCCTGGGAATTTGCCAAGTACAAGAATGAAAAGTTTAGTCTCAGTTCATAATTTTGAACAATAATAGCATCACTTTCTCATTTCTCTAGATTGGCTAGGTGAATGGGCAGTAAAATTTCAATTAAATTCTCTGGTTTGCTTTGGAGACCTGGGGGCTTCATCACTAATTTGCTTTAGGGATGCCACAGAGCTATGAAGTGTCAGTGTCCAAGTTGGAATTTGTAGTTTAAATATGTACAGAAGGATGTAATGGATCCCAAATCTATTTCAGACATAATATCTAATTTCTAGGTGATTTATGCTAAGTACATTGCAACTTCTGTATATAGGTTATTACTTAAAACACTTTAATCTTTGAAAGTGTCCACACTGGAAATTCTGCTGTGCTCATTTTAAAGAATCAATTTCTTCTATAAATGTCAGTCATCTTGTTAGTATATTAGTCCAGTTCATCAATTTGTGCTGCAGAGGGGATATCCAGCTGTCATTAGAGGATATAAAACACAGTCATTGTCAAATGTAGAGCATTTTGGCTAGAACTGAGAATTTTACAGAATTCTTCTTTTTGATGTCCTTGATTCATCCAGACCTTAAACATCTAGTTGTGCATCTGGCTTTTGACATAAATCCTATAAGCAAAATGTCTCAACCTGGACTAATTTTTTAATTTGAAAAGGCCCCATGGTTCTGAAATTGGCTCTATTTAAATCTCCCCCTTGCCCAAGGGTGTGTTGTTTTATCCTCTTTCAGGGGAGTCACTTGACATTACAAGACACTTAAGCTCTTCTTCCTGAGGGAGACTGCTACTACTTTTGCTCTGGTAAATGCATAGATATATTCTTTGGTGGTTCAAAGTTAGATCACACAGTACAAGAGGTATTCTACTTGCTATCATTTGAAGCATTGTATACAACTTATAGGATATAATGACACGTTTTCTTCATTCTGTAGTACCCTGCCTTTTAAAAGCCAGGATAACTACAAAACATTTGTAAGAATACAAATAGGACAGATTACTTGTCATCATGAGAATTCTGAATTTTCAGAGTTGGGACTCTAGGCCTCCATAAGCTTCTTCAAGTTCAGGAGCTGTTGATCAACTCCAGTGGTTATTTTACAACCATCTTCATGAAGTTAAAGTTTTTCTAATTCAACACTGAGCTTTTTAAATGTATCTTTACTTCTCTAAAATAAAGACATAACAAAAAGAATAAAAAAATGGCAGAGCTTTAGCTCCCTTTTCCAATATAGCCTCAAATACATTTGTTAAATTGTACTTTTTTTTTCCTTTTTTATTTAAATTAGAATCAAGATTGTTTTACATGACAATCCCAGTTCCCTCTCCCTCCTCTCCTTCCCTGCCCTACCCCCCCATCCCCTTTCTGCTTCCTAGGGAAGGTGAGGCCTTCCATGGGGATCTTCAAAGTCTGTCATATCATTTGGCACAGGACCTAGACCCTCTCCTATGTGTCTAGGCTGAGAGAGTATCCCTCTGTGTGGAGTGGGCTCCCAAAGGCCATTCATGTACTAGGGATAAATACGGATACACTACCAGAGGCCCCATAGAATAACCAGACCTCCAAACTGACATCCTCATTCAAGGGGTCTGGATCAGTCCTCTTCTGGTTTCCCAGCTACCATTCTGGAGACCCTGAGAAACCCCTTGTTCAAGTCAGCTGTTTCTGTGGGTTTCTCCAGCCTGGTCTTGACCACTTTGCTCATCACTCCTCCCTCTCTGCACTGGATTCCAGAGTTCACCTCAGTGTTTAGCTATGAGTGTCTGCTTCTGCTTCAATCAGCTACTGGATGAAGGCCTTTTTATTTTTTTATTAGCAAGAAAATTATTTTACATGTCAATCCCAGGTCCCTCTCCATCTCCACTTCACTTGTCACCCCAACTAATGCCCTACCCATCCCATACCCTTTCTGCTCCCCAGGAAGGGTGAGGCCTTCCATAGGGGTCTTCAAAGTCTGTCATATTCATTGAGATAGGGCCTAGGCCAACCCCTTGTGTCTAGGCTCAGGGAGTATCCTTCCATGTGGGATGGGCTCCTACAGTACATTCCTATGCTAGGGATAAGTACTGATCCACTACAAGAGGCCCCATTGATTTCCAAGGTCTCCTCACTGACGCCTACATTCAGGAGGTCTGGACCCTTTTGCTCATCAGTTTTCCTTCTCTGCATCTGTTTCAGTTCAGTTCAAGGTTTAGCTGTGGGGTCTGCTTCTACTTCCACCAGCTGCTGGATGAGGGCTATGCGATGGCATATGAATTAGTCATCAATTTCATTATCAGGAGAGGGCATTTAAGGTAGCCTCTCCTCCATTGCTTAGATTGTTAGTTGATGCCATCTTTGTAGCTCTCTAGACATTTCCCTAGACCCTGATTTCTCTTTAAACCTATAATGTCTCCCTATTATATTATCTCTTATCTTGCTCTCTTCTGTTCTTCCCCCAACTCAACTTCCCTGTCCCATCATGTCTTCCTCACCCTTCCTCTTCTCCCCTTTCTCATTCTCCAAGTTCCCTCCCCCCTTCCCCATGTTCCCAATTTTCTCGGGAGATCTTGTCCCTTTCCCCTTCTCCAGGGGACCATGTATGTCTCTCTTAGGGGCCTCCTTGTTTACCAGCCTCTCTGGCAGTCTAGTCTGCAGGCTGGCAATCCTTTACTCTATGTTTAAAATCCACATATGAGTGAGTACATACAATGCCTGTCTTTTTGTGACTGGGTTACCTCGCTCAGAATGGTTTCTTCTAGTTCCATCCATTTACCTGTGAATTTCATGATTTCATTGCCCTTTTTCCACTGAGTAGTACTCATTGTATATATGTACCACATTTTTTTCTATCCATTCTTTAGTCGAGGGCCATCTAGGCTGTTTCCAGTTTCTGGCTATTACAAATAATGCTGCTATGAACATAGTTGAACAGATGTCCTTGTTGTAAGAATGTGCTTCTTTTGGGTATGTGCCTAAGAGTGGAATTGCTGGATCTTCTAGTAGACTGATTCCCATTTTCCTGAGGAATTGCCATACAGATTTCCAAAATGGCTGTACTTGTTGGCACTCCCACCAGCAGAGGAGGAGTGTTCCCCTTTCTCCACAACCTCTCCAGCATTAACTGTCATTGTTGTTTTTGATTTTAGACATTCTGAAATGTGTAAGATGGTATCTCAGAGTTGTTTTGATTTGCATTTCCCTGATGGCTAAGAATGTTGCACACTTTCTTATGTGTCTTTCAGCCATTTTAGATTCCTCTATTGAGAAATGTCTATTTAGTTCTGAACCCCTCTTTGTAGTTGGATCATTTGGTGTTTTGCAGACTAGTTTTCTTGAGTTCTTTGTAAATTTTGGAGATCAGCCCTCTGTTGATTGTGGAGTTGTTGAATATCTTTTCCTAATCCATGGGCTGTTATTTTGTCTTGTTGATTATGCCATTTGCCTTACAAAAACTTCTCAGTTTCAGGAGGTCCCATTTATTAATTGTGGATCTCAGTGTCTGTGCTACTGGTGCTATGTTCAGGAAGCAGTCTCCTGTACCAATTCTTTCAAGGGTATTTCCTACTTTGTCTTCTAATAAACTCAATGTGGCTGCTGGGTTTATGTTGAGGTCTTTGATCCATTTAGACTTGTGCATGGCAATAGACATGGATCTATCTGCAGTCTTCTACATGCCAGCATTCAGTTATGCCAGCAACATTTGTTGAAGATGCTTTCATTATTCCATTGTACAGCTTTAGCTTCTTTGTCAAAAATCAGGCATTCATAGGTGTGTGGGTTAATATTAGTGTTTTCAACTTGATTCCATTGGTCTACCTGTCTATTTTTGTGCCAATTCCAACCTGTTTTCAGGACTATAGCTCTATAATAGAGATTGCAATCCAGAATGTTGATGCCTCCAGAAGTTCTTTTATTGTACAGGTTTGTTTTGGCTATCGTGGGTCTTGTTTTTCCATATAAAGCTGAGAATTGTTTTTTCAAGTTCTGTGAAGAATTGTGCTGGGGTTTTGATGAGGATTGCTTTGAATCTGTAGATTGTTTTTGGCAAGATTGCCATTTTTCACTATGTTGATCCTACCTATCCAATAACATTGGATTACCTGTCTAAGAACATCAGACATCCTTCCATTTTCTGCTATCTTCTTTAATTTATTTCTTTAAAGACTCAAAATTCTTATGATACTTTCATTGTTTTGGTTAATGTTACTCAAAGGTATTTTTTGTCATTTGTGGCAATTGTAAAGGGTGATGTTTCTCTGATTTCTTTCTCAGCACATTTATCATCCATAGAAAGTAGGACTACTGATTTTTTGAGTTAATCATGTATCCTTCCACTTTTCTGAAGGTGTTTATCAGCTGTAGGAGTTTCCTGGTAGAGTTTTTCGGTTCACTTATATAGACTATCATATCATCTGCAAACAATGAAAGCTTGAATTCTTCCTTTCCAATTTGTATCCCCTTGATCTCCTTTTGTTGTCTTACTCCTCTAGCTAGAACTCCAAGGACAATATTGAAGAGATATGGAGAGAGTGGACATCCTTGTCTTGTTCCTGATTTTAGGGGAATAGTTTGAGTTTCTCTCCATTTAATTTGATGTTGGCTGTTGGCTTACTGTA